CCCCACTCCACCACATTCCCCTTCAAACACTCCAATCATTGCAAAGCACGTACAATACAAGCGAGACTCCGGCTGATTCTGATGCTGTCTCAACCATGATTGTGACGGATTCCACAAATATTACCCCATTGTGTTAGTGAAGACATAACTTGAGACGGGGAGGGAAGGGAGATAGCATCAGAATAAAGTCTCGCTTGTATTGTGGAAAGGACAGTAGTAACCCCTACCAGGGCCACACAGAATTTTTCATTAAAATGACACAGATATTTTTCTGGCCAATTCTGCACCAGTTTTTGTGTTGTCCAGAAACTTTGGAAATGAAAATAATAAAACACAACCCGTCCCCCAGCCTCTCCTGGTGGAGAGTAGGACTGCCTATTGGTCATATTGGCTGCCCTCCTCACCTTCGGCTCCGTGGTAGAATATAGCATATTTATATAGCATGATCTATTAGTGTATTCATTACGGACAGGAGCGATGCATGAATTTTATTTGATTTCCTTAGCTGTGATTTAATTTCGAATTTTTAAAAGCATCGTGTGATACATGTGCAGGCCCGTAGCCAGGGGGGGGGGGGGGTACGGGGGGTTCGAAAGAACCGCCCCTTTTGCTGGGAAAAGGTCCACTCTGGGTAAAATTTGATCTAGCTACAAGAAGTTTTTATGGGAAAGGTCCACTTTTTCAGAAAAGGAACCCCCCTTTTTGAAATTGCCGGCTACGGGCCTGACGTGACTTGCCGGTTAACGAACTTTTTTGTCTGTGGCAGTTCCGAAAGTTTGTTAACTGGGATGGCAGGTGAGAGTTATCGTTTGGGTCTGGATTTAGGTCGTCTTCTGAAGAGAGGTACTTTTTACTGGGCTGGTCCATTTTTTGAGACAATTCAATGGCTTTGAATGTACGTTAGAGAGTCACCTAAACTGTGAATTATATTTATCTGCGTAATTTTAAGTTTTGTTTCCGTGTCTGTTTCAGATAACGATTAGTTCACGATCCCAGCGACAGATAACCGCAGCTCTGGGATCACGTCCATGGATTCTGCCTTCAACTTGTCCCAAACCACAAACTAAAAGAACTCAGCAGAACACCACGCTGTGTATCTACCAAGGAGATCACTGTCGACACACGTGGAACGCTTCATTTGCACATACGCTGTACAAAATTTTATGGCTGCCTTATATGATAGAGTTGATAAGTCAACTTAAATTTCTTAATCCTTATCTTCCCAAAGAAATTTCATGGACGTATTATTTGAAAAAAAAGCTTCAAATGTTCTTATTCATCCTCGTCTTTGGATGGTCCTAGAGCTCAAAAATTTATCCAGGTAATTAACCCCCCCACCCCGGACAATTCCCCCTGTAATGTATATAATAATGAGAATGAAAATGTGATATTGAGAAAAATTGTAAATGCCTGCTTTTAATAAAATTCTGTCTTCAGGCAGAGGTAGTTAAGCAAAAAATGTTTTAATGGAACAGATGTATGATATAGATAATTCAAAACCAGAGTATTTTTTCTGAGAAGGCGGGGGTGTCTTGGGGGAACTGTTCGGGGTGGTGGGTTGTCTTGAGGGGATTGTCCTAGAAACATGTAGATAGCCAAGACTGACCCATTGCCATCATTAAAAAGTCAAGTCCTGATGTGTAGAGTGTGTATTGACCCCACCCTGCCCCTCCACGTGGCCTTCTCAAGGCCCCTGCCCCTCCCCATAGCCATCTCCACGTCCCTGTTCCCCCCCCCCCCCATCTCCACGTCCCTGTTCGAAATAACTCTGTTTGCTGGGAAAATGTCCACTCTGGATAAATTTGGTCCATTTGCACAACAGTAGTAATAAAAGGACGGGAGCCTTACTAAAAAGGATAGGGCCCTGATAAGGCCCTCTAAATGTATGTTTTTCTTATTTATTTTTTCTTTATTTTATGAAAAAAAGTTATATTGGCAAAATCAAGTGTGTATACATAAGATTTTATTTATTTATTTATTTATTTATAAATGGAAATGTTTATATTGGTAAAAAAAAAAATGGAAGGTGTGTAAACAAAAGATTTGAAAGGATAGATGATTGTTTTGGTATTTCATTGTATTGGATGAACAAAAAAAA